GAGATTGCGGGAATGTAAGATTACCCTAAGCTGTTTATTCAGGAAATGTGATATTACTCATATTTACTTATGTCAATAAATTGTTAGGGACAAAGTCATTAGAGTCTAATATATTACTAAGGTAATCTTGCAATGTCTAAGAGCCCCAAGGAGATCCGATTATCCCCCAAAAGGAAACAATACCTCATTTTCCTATGTGGAGCTAACCTCATACTGCCTCCGTCCCTCAAAAAACTTCCTATTTTCCCTTTTTGGACGTTCCAAAAAAAATTCCTACTTTATTTTAATTTAAAGAAGTGAACATATTACTCAAAAAAATCTCATCTAAACAAAATTCAACCACATATTTTTCACAATAGAAGGTAGTATTGCCTTTCACAAATTACCAAAGTAATGTTAGTGTACATGAACGAAACACCTGTGTAATAAATACTAATCCAGGATGTAGCTAGTCGGACATGCCCTCCTTGCCTCTTTGGCATAATTAAGAGATGGTAATATGAAAAGATATGTAAAAGAAAACGTGTCAAATTTGAAATAGTTAGTTTTGAAGAACGTGTGTGACTACCTTAACGAGAAATAGACCCCAACATTCCATTGCTTCATGAAATCAGTATATGCAGCTTCAGATCGAAACTTGATCACTTCAGATCTTGAAGGACAGTAACCTTGCAAAATAAGAACTTGTAAAAGATTGATGTTGACTAGTTAGCTATTTACTAGTAGATTGGAGATGAATATTCTCAACTACCTTCTAAATAAGCCAAAAAATCCAAGCTTGCTTTGTAATTTTTCAAGAACTCTGTAGGTCTTCCAGGAGAAAACACGCCTGGTTTCCCTTTTTGGATAGAAGAGTGAATCTCTCTAAGAATAGAATTTGCAAGGAAACTTGATACATGCAGGCCTGAATTTTCTGCATATGACATTTAAATATAAAAATGATAACACGTTGGAGAATTTGGGAAATTTGTTATGGTCCAACCAAATGATGGAAATGTAAAGAGTCAAAATTCTAGTATGAACACACACACAGATATTAATTGACTGATGTTTACACATTGATGCTAAAGAATCTAGGAATTGTTCACAAATTCATTATATATATACACACACACACACACACAGTCTAAGGACTAGCTATGAACGGCTAATCGATCCAGACACTACATGATGCTCAAGAGAAGGATGGCAATAAATCATCTCAAATGATGAGTTAGCAGAAAGAAGGGATCAAAGTATGCTCATGAAGGAATCCATTTCTTTATTTTAACATGAGAACACGATGTTTACTCTACCACAGCATGTGCAAAGAAAGTGTAGGGATGAGTGAAACTTGTAGTCAAGAGCAAAATCCATAGGGAAGTGATCGGTACAAAATGAGCAGGCTTAGCAAGAAGGCAAGAAGACATTATAATTGTATCCAAGGACGTCTACTCTATGAAGAAGAAGAGGTAACAGCTATCTCCTCTGAACATCTATCCTTTTATCAGCAAAGAAAAGAATTCTAGCAGTCCGGATGTACTATTGTCTCTAGTCTATATGAAACTAAAAGATATCAAATTCACAAATGGGGGTGGTAACTATTCTTATTAAAGGCTTAAAGCTCATTAAAAAAGAAATAATCAGAAAAGAAAACAATATCTAATACTTGGAATATTTTTTGGGGAAGTGGTATGCAGCATATGTGTATGAATTCACAAGAAACCTTGAGTGTGCATTATCTAAATCAAAATGCAAAACCACTGTAATTTAATGCTAATAGAAAAATAGAGCCATACCAGTTGACGAAATATCCAGTAAAAATTTACAATCTGCAACTATATAATCCTTGATTTTTTCATAGTCCTGTTCAAGTCCATCCACAGATGCCCCAGAAATTCCAAGACCTTGTGGGATGACTTTATGGATCAATGGTGCCACCACAGTTGAGCGAAATATATCTTCAGCATTCCTAGTATTATCAATGGCAGCATATGCACGCAAACAATTGTAGACTGCGTTTGTATCCCTATGTTCAAGTCCATCAACAAGAGTATGTCCAAGGCTAGTCTCCAATAATGAGCTAGCATTCAGTGTCCTCTTCTCCATGTTCTCAATGAAAGGCATATTCTGTACTGCCATCACACAGAAAAGTGCATAAGCTGTCAAAACAACTATAGTACTTCATGGAAGATTAACAATATAGCTCTCCTGTCACTAATATAGTATGATCCACATGGGCACATAGGATAAAAAACACATCATCATCACCGCCACTCACGACTTGGCCTGAGTTTATAACTCCATAAAAAAAACTTAGGGACAAAGTTCTACTCCAGATGCCCTCTTAATTGGAACAATCTAAAAACACTATGCTACAACTTATATATACAAAGCTCAGTACGAGCTAATATATGATCCATTTACATTCTCACAACTGTACTGAATAATGCCAAGCAGTGAAAAATTAGCATTCCTATAGTAAATCTTCACAACTACCTAAAGTAACATTAATGTTATGAAACAGAACAAGGCAACATAAATATCACACCCAAAAAATCAAGGAAACACATCCAAATGAAAACAGAATGGGTTTAAAGCCATCAAAGAATTAGATAAAGTTAAAGACTAAAAGATTCACTTGTCACACAGTATGGGGACAAATTCAGACCTGTGAATGAGAGATGTAGAACTTCAGTCTATTCATCTCGCTTGCAATCCTCTCAAGATGCATGCTTTGAGTTTCTCTCAGATTCGATCCCTTCTCAGTATGCTGAACCGAGACCCCATTGCTTAAATAACCATTTTCCCCATAACTGGCTATTCCATTTGCAAAATTGGTAGTTCCACTTGGCAATTCCTTGATCAATTTCTCTACCTGTATTTAAGATTGTGTAATTCAGTTCGGTTTTATAGAAGATGACATGAACTAGCTTCAATAGAAAACTCAATTGAACGGGAGAATCCCAGCGTCACCTTCGACACAACGTGGAATGTATCGAGCAAGAGCTCTAGAACTTCCCTAGCCTCGCCGGCATCTGCTCTCTGCTTGAGCCGCGAGTTGAGAGCGCCGAGAGAGCTTTCCACGGCCTCCCGGAAAGTCGAGATCTTGTGGCGGATCTCGAGCAAAGGGGCACGCATACGCACAACGGCGGCGTCAACGTCGGTCAGCTTGGTACTGAGGCTGACAAAATCGCCGTAGTCACGGTTGATTAGGTCGACGAGGTCGCGTTGAAGGGATGAGAGATGAGACCGGAGCTCCGAACGGAGAGTGTCGAGCGGGACGAATGTGCGGAGGTCTGAAATGTACGTCTCCGCGTCGAAGTCCGGAGCCAGGAAGAGGGAAGGATTTAGCCATTGCGGCGGGTCGGCGTCTGTCGGATCACCGAAAAGGTCTGTGGCGGATCGCGGCGGAGCTCCCGGCGTCGACGGAGGCCGCTGATGAGAGTATAGATCCGTCATTCTCTCTGCCAGCGACTCAGATGTGAGCGCAACGGCGTTAGATCTATCTACTGATAACTGACCTTTTTCCAGGTGGAGTATTACATTTCTTTTTTCTTTTTTCCCTTTTCATCTCTTTCAATAAAATTAAAATTATGTTAGAGAGGAACCAGACCAACAATTTTGAAATCCGAATAGGAACCGGAACCAGAACCAGAACCCAGTACCAAAAGGACGTTCTCAAATTTTGCTATTGAAACCACACCGAAACTGACCTGAATTGGTATCGATTTCTTTTTTCTTAATTTCTTCTACTCCCTCCGTTCTCAAAAACTCTTCCTCTTTCAATTTTTCCACTTCCAACAAAACACTTCTCTTTTCTATTTAAAAACCACTTTTACCCTTACTTTTTCATACCCTACCTATCACATCATACTTTTTCTCTAATAATCTATCCATCACATCTTACTTTTACCCATCACATCAGGGGCAAAATTGAAAATCAACTATAATTTAACACTTCCTTATTTTTGCCCCAAATCCAAATGGGAAGTGTTTTTCCAAACGGAGGGAGTATGTTTTAATGGTTATTTTCAATTTGTTTGACTTTAACTCATGCTCTAAAAATTTAACACACCAAGAAAAAAGTATGGAGTCAAATATATAAATTTTAGCTCAAAAATTTTAAAAAATAAATTAATCAAATTAGGTTTAGAACCAATAACGAAACCGAAAAGAGCAATAATAACAAAATTGCCCCAACCTGGTACTGGTACCGACTCCTCTAACATGGGTATCGAAACCAGACCGATCATATCCACATCTATGTGGAACGCTCAATCAAGTGTCTCACACCCCGACTTGATGGAATACGGAGAAGTATATTACTGTATAATCTTATCATGGTTCTTAGAGAGGTAGTCATGTGCTCACACACAAAGAACTACTCAGTATCATATTAAATAAATTGTTCATTGTCAAAAATTAATTTTAAATTTCAGACTTAACATTTCCCTCAAGACCATCTAAATTACACATGCGGGTGATAAAACTACTTGTACTTTAGAATTACGCTTGGGTGCCAGGATTTTGAGATCTTTTTTTTACAAATATTTACAAACACGGAACAACATCGATATGTTTTTCCAATTTCAAGCATCCGACATTGCTAATATTGTATTTTGAACAAAATGAGTATGTTAATTATATACATTGCTAAATTAAGTCACATCATATACATTGCAATATCATGATGGGTTATATCATCAACATATTCATTATGGAACACCTCATATATTTTTCGCTTATTCATCCAAACTCATTCGGTTATGTTTGGAAACTAGGAATTCCTTTCAATTATGAGATTTCAATTCTAAAATTTAAGGGTCTGGAATTCAAATAACAAAGAGAAGTGTAATTTGTAATTCAGCTTTGTGTGAAATTAGAAAAATATGATCCAGAACCAAATCTAAATTTTTTTGGACACCCACATATGTAAATTGAGTCAAATTTGAAATTCAAATTCAAATATCATAGCAAGGCACAAAATACACAATGGTATGATTGTCAACTCAATTTCATAGAAATTTACACTTTTCTTGTTTGGATGTCTCAAAAATAACTTCACATTTCTACTCTTTTGGTAAAGAAAATATGACCAACAAAACTTCTCACTCTTTCAAACAAATTTCATCCATGCTTTCTCACTTTTCAACACTTTTCTAGAACTCTGTACACTCAAATAATGAAGTTCTTTTTGGGACGGAGGAAGTATTTGGTGAATTCACTAATTTAATAAGATGAGAGTATCATTTCCAAACAACAGAGCCATAAGTGAAGGGTCTTCATCCAGCATGTTCCCCAACTGTCCTTCTGCAAGCACACAAATCATAATATGAAGTTTCCTAAAGAACTTTGTTTCTTGGCTCTTTGTATAGAAATGTGAGATCCATCCCAAAACTAATTGAGAATGAGAAGAGTAACTCATACTCTTATATACTCCGTATTAGTCTTTTTTAGCCTTAATATTCGATGTGAGAATTTCTATCCTCAAGACTTCTCATGCTTGGGAAGTATTGGATGGCAATGACAAATAAAAACATAAATCCTAATGTCCATAACTGATTACCATATAATACAGTCTTTTAGATTGTATATTTTAAAAATATAGGAGATGATCAAAGAGATCCAAATATCATCTATTTCACACCCATAATCCCCAAACCATACTTTCGTGGGATTCTACTAGGTTGTGTTGTTGTAACCCTAAGTCCTAACCACATAACATCGTGGGCTGAGAGGCCTCACCTTTCATATGCTACAGTGAACACTATGCGACCCTGACAATTGAAGCTTCCTTTGTTCTTCACTCAATACTTGAGAAGTGGCGAACAAAATCGGTGTGCAGTGCATGTCCACCCTGTGGCATGTGAAATGCGAAGTATAAGTTACGGAATATTTTATTACTCGAGTACTTGGAAATATGTCATTTGCAAAATGAATGAAAAGAGGGGGAAATGGATATGTAGTGTATTTTGGCTCAAATTTACAAAACAAAACAATATTTTGAAAATATGTAGATATTAGATTGGATTGAGAAAGTTAGGAGCATACCTTATAGACAACTATGTGAGCTACAGGAAGTCCCTGACTTCCAGCTCTAGCAAGAAGTGAAAGATCCCCAATAAGATCCAATACCTTGTGTCTGCAGGGCTCATCGTCGTAACGGAGGGGTGCATTCAACCAGCCTCTACTCTCACTGTAGACAATAGGTCAGTAGGTGTTCATTGGTTAGCACGAAAAAAGGTTATCCATGTGCTAAAGGGTGATAAAACAAAGCTCCATTTGTTAGTGTTATACGAGGAAATAACATATCTTTAGTTAAATAGTGTGTTTCTAGAATCTGCAGAGTATAAAAATTCATCGTCATTTTATTTCAATGTATCCATATAATGTAAGAAAAATTAATAACAGATACATCAATCCTCCCCTTCACTTCAAAACCATCACCAAAACATCTTTGGAGCAAGAAGTTATCAACATATTGCAATAACTGTAATTATCACTCAAGATAAAGAAAGGTATTTCAAAGAAACAAAAGCAGTAGGGTAAACATTTCAATGTATTGAGACGTAATTTATCCATACATGATCCTTTAAATGGACCTTTGGAATGATGATGATGATGATGATGATGATGATGCTAATGATAGCAATGAAATGAAAGCAGGAAGAGTGTGAAGGATTAGAGATGCCCTAAAATGAAAAACTAGGTCTCTAAAATGTTTGGCATATCTACTTGTCTTAATATCCATGTTGTTAAATGCCGATGGAACAAAATAGACATAGAAATTACACAAAATCACAATATTTCATGCAGTTTTATTAAGCACTCCATAAAATATACGAAGCACTTCAATACATAACCTACAAACAATAGCACTTTCTAGAGAGCCACCCTGAATGAGTCCTGATTGCCAAATCTTTTCTACCTGAACATGATTTCAAAAAGCATAATTATGTTTAAAATCTCAAAAAAGAAATCCATAAAGAACATAAGATATTGTAATAAAGCCACAGGCCAATAAAGTAACACAATGAAAAGATTTAAATGATTAAGACAAGAAAAATGAAAAGGAATGAAGGTGAGATATATAAATCATTTAAACTGATTTGGCTTTATGTATAAGGCTTAAACTGCCCTTTAATAGCTTCTCAATCATTTGGTGTCATTGAACATCTATAAATCTATAATAGATGGAAAAGATGGAAAATTCAATAGATTTAGATACATAAAAATACCAATAGCTAAGAGCTTCTTGAAAGCGAACCTGCTCATAAATGCAAAATGTTCTTGAAGAAGCTATTTGCTCCACATAGACAAAATTATCTAAAAATGAACAAGAAAACCACTGACACCCAATTGCTGGTGCCTTCAAGATATGAAACATTATAGCCCAAAGTGAATAGATATTACAGAGTAATATTTTTCATTTTCAATTATGGCATAAGAATGTTTGTCAATCCACATTATGGCTAGTTTAATATTTCAACTGACAAACTTAAAAAAAAATTGAACCATTAGTACTCTGTTAAATAAAGAAATGCCCCATACATGAACAAAAAGAAGAATATGGCACCAAAGAACAATCGAAGTAACCCGAACCAGAGTGAATTTGAAATTCAAAGGGATTACTAGGATATTTCATGTTGAACTGTTCGACAAACAGAAATCTAATGGTAACCATCAATCATAAAATTATACCTGTGGAAAGTTAATTCCATAGCTGATCCTGATGTTTGATGAAGGGAATGCAGCAATAAAGGCGTCATTTTTCCACATGTGAATAGGTTCATTGACATAAGGTGCCAACTTATCATAGTTTTCCCCACTGGGATGAGCCGCTACCTCCAATCCAACTTCTTGTATCGCTCTCACCCATTCCCTTGCTGACCCATCAAATATAGGAACCTGCATGCATTAGTCTCGGAAAATGAATCCGTTGGTATAACTAAATTGTACGAAGTTCTATGTACTAATGATCTGATATCAAGAAAAAATCCCCATAATCAACATAATGAATACTTCTAGAGTGTGGATCATAACACAAAAGGAAAAGATTTTGAAAATTATTTCCGGAGAAAAAATATAAATATGAAGAGAAGTGTTCTTTACCTCAACAGACTGATCATCAGAGACGGAGTTTTCAACTTCGATTCGACAATTGTCTATACCACATGCCTCTAGAGCAGAAAGCAAGTGCTCAACAGTTCTCACACTGTACCCATCTTTGCACAATGTGGTGCACAGACGCGACTCCCTGGCAAACCCAATAGACGCATCGATCCGATTCGACCCAAGCGCAAAGTACCTGCCTTCACCTGCAAGTTCCGGCCGAATTCTCACGGTTGATTCCTTGCCTGAGTGGAGCCCCAGTCCGGTTCGTTCAATACAACTCGATAATGTTTGCTGTATCTTGCCGGTCTGCAAAATTTGAAAGTTAAATTACGCCCACGAATGAATACTCCGATTAGATTATCAGTGCAGAAAAGGAGTCATGATTAACATAGAATCAGCTGTGTGTGTGCGTAAAAGGAAGAGAAGGTACAGATTTCCAGGAGATGACCGGCGGCGAGCACTTGAAGGCTGCTTTAATGGCACGGGAGGCGGCCATTAGTTTCAAAAACTTCACATTAAGCACAGAACAGTAAGTTCAGTGGATGATCGGAAAATGGAGAAGGAGCTAGGGTTCAATTCAGTATTGTGAGTTTCCCTCCAAATTCTGCTTACATACTGGGCGCTGCTTCTAGAGCCGCTCAAATGACATGGTGGCAGGTGTCATCATTTGACACTGGTCGAGGGGTTCTGATTGGGTTAGGGGTATAGTTGTAAATTAATACTCCTTACTAGTATAATTCGATTTGTATTTTAAAATTTTGATGAACCCAATAGTGCAATATTAGGTTCACAAATAAAATGGTCATGAAGTTTAGGGAAATGCTTGGTTCACAAACACAATAGTCAGAAACTTCACAAACTTACTATTTGTGAACTTTCATGCATAAGATTAAATGGTCTAAAATGATTTTAAAATAAAACTTTAAATCATAAATTGTAAGTTTGTAAAGTTTGTGAGTATTTTGTTTGTGAACATAGCATTGCTCTAAAGTTTATAAACTTACGGAGTATCATTTATGGTTACCCATTTTAAAATTATTTTTGACTATTTTATTTTTTTATTAAATTTCACAAATAGTAAATTTGTGATATTTGTAACTATTTTGTTAGTGAACCAAGCATTTCTCAATCGAATATCATATGTAGAACAAATGAATTGAATACGGACCACTGAGAATATTTGATCCGAATCCAAATACAAATATCATTCAAAACTAACTAATAGTTAATACGTATATGATTCTAATGGAATAAAATGATTTAAAAATCGGCAAGGATCTTTTGACCCTTGAACCTCGGGTTATATTATGACCCAGAATCCTACGGTGCTCCATTCATAAAATTAGTGGTTCCTACCCCTCTAAACCCTACCCTTGGTCCTACCTGCCCACCCCATCCCAGCACCCCCCCTCCCCAAAATCACCGACTGGCTACAATATTACTAACGAGAGCATCTTTCTTGATCTCTGAATATCTTCAAGTGTGTGTGTGTGTGTGGTTATATTTAACCTCAAACAAGGTAAAATAAATAGTGTGAATATCTTCAGTATGTACACTATATATATAGTGTAGATATATTGATATTTGTACAATCAACAGCAGCATCATTGTTAATATTATTCATTAGCAAAAATAATACTACTGATTTAGCAAATACTTGTGCCAGCCAGCAATTCAGTGGAACTACAAACCAAACAATGAGATTCTGCTGAGGAGGTGAATTCTCACCCATCAAATAAGATAAGAGTATAAAGAATGAAATGGAGAAGAAGGGGAGTTTGGAGTGTATGTATAGCAATCATTTCCAAGCAACAGAGTCAATCTCATCTCTGGCAGACTTGTACAGCTCCAGCCTCTTGGCTATGGCCTCCCTCTTAGCCATAAGTGAAGGGTCTTCATCCAGCATTTTCCCCAACTGCTCCTTCTGCATCCACACACATCACCCAATGAACTTCCCTAAATATATTCTTTTTTTTCTTTCTTTTTTTGGTTCTTCCCATGCTTGGGAATCATTGGATCACAATGTCAAAAGGAAAAAAAAATCCAGTATTATTCTAACACTCCCAGGGTCCGGGAGGGGGGGGGGGGGTGTCAAAATGTAAGCAGCCATACTGTGTAAAAAAAAAGAGTTGTTCCCGTTAGACTCTAGATACATTGTTACATTTACTGTCCAAGACTTCACAAAATATAAGGAAAAAGGAAAGTTTAATGTTCTATTTTTTATTTAATCCATTATGTATCAGAAACTAAAATATTGTCAAAAATGAATCTTTTAGCTCCATTCGCAATGGATGGGAATATTGTCATCTTCATAATTTTATTTACATTTGCATGGAAAAAAGCATGTAGTATAATACGTAGTACTAGGTAAAAAAATGCAGTTGAAAGCCTAAAACATTTTACCTCTCTCCTTCCAACATCAGAGTAGAACCTGTTCAACAGCGCTCTCTTAGCCTCACGAACTTGGCAATAAACGACTGCCTTGGGAATAGTGCCCTTCAAGGTATCACATACCATGTTAACGTATGCGGTTACATTTGAACCTGGGAGGGACAGCACAAGAAAAAAATTTAAGCAAAAAATGGTATTTTGTCTTGAAAATAAATCATTCTGTATGTCTTCTTCATTGCTAACTATCTGAATATTCTAATTCTTCAAGTTATTAGAGTCGGGCTAAACTATCATTGTAGGCATATAAACAAGAGGTCTATACAATATATTCTAGTAGTGTTCACTAGATTTAAATATTGAGTAAATCTATAAAAGAGAAATGTTGTTTGAAAGCAACTTTCGCACCAATTCTCCTTAGATGATGGTCGGTGTAGCGGTCTGTATTTGAACTACTTTGGTTTGTGTTAGCATTTTTCTCTGGCTCGGACTGGAGCTTCCTGAAGAATTCCACAGTCAGGTAGGAAGACTCCATTTCTACCAGTCTTATAACCGTCTTGCGACTTTCATCACGAAATCTCTCAAGTGCATCATTTGCAGCAGCTGCGATATCAGATTGAAGTGTTGGGAATCTCTTCAATTCCTAAATGACCATAAAATGGATAGAAGGAAATAAATCATTTTCTCCTGAAGCACTTACACAACTACCTACTGGCATATTTTGTTATATAGTTCAACAACAACAAACCTAATAGAATCCCACAAGAGACGTTAGGCTCTCGGGAATGAAATAGAAAGGAAATATTTGAAAGAAAAATTGATCTATAAAACTGCCAATGATTTAAACATTAGCAGGCCACACTAATGAAAGAATGTTTAACAAAGGAGTTGACGTTACCTCTGTTTCTGCAATGGATTTCCTCACCAATTCTTTAAGAATGAAGTGCACCTTCAAGACACAAATTTTGAACAAGTCACAGTCCATTCCAAAAATTGTATAATGAAACTTTCTACGAACATTGATAATCCATAAGGTAATGGTTAATAGAACTATACAACAAGTAAATTCGGTAGAATCCCACAAAAGTGATGTTTGGGGAGGATGTGTATAAGAAAACGTTACCCCTACTAAAAAGCAGAGAGACTGTTTCCAAGAAACCCCAATGAACAGAACTATGTGTATATACGTAGTATATCATAATGAATATGGATAGGAATCTCACTGCATCGACAGAAGCTTCAGCAGGACCCTTGAAATATCCAAGAGATCCATCAATCAATCTCCTGTAACCTTGTTCGGGTGCAATCAGGTGAGGCTGATAACCATCCGCCTCAGAAATGACTTTCTTAACATTATTCAACGAAAGGTGGCGATCTAGTGGGAGTTTTTTCATTGCAGAAGGGAGCTGATGGTCAAAGACGCCATATATCCTATCACCACCTGGCCTCCTGAAACAAGATTCATCCTAATCACATTCTTGAAAATCAAATCATGTTACCAAATGGGCTTCTATATGGGCAGACAAAAACAGCAAACCCAATAAAATCTTCGGTAAGATCCTGAAAGTGTAGGTTCTATCTAATTACCTCCTTCCTAGTTGGTGGACAATGTATTAAAAAACAAAAAAATATTTTGGTTAGTTTTGGTAACTATATAGTATATACCATTAAGGATCCATAGCTGTTCATATGTGGTGGGGAACTTTCATGAGAGAACCCATGGATATAGAAAAGCTACTTCATTTTTCATCAAGAAATAGAGTATTCATTAGCATGCTCATAGAATCACAGCGGTCATAGAATTTTCTTGAAACTTTATTAACATTAAGTTCTTGTACATAAAAACAGCACTTTATGAAAGTCTAGACTAATAGAATTTCGAACCTCACGAAAAATGAGTGAAAAGATGTAATTACCCTCCATCTAGGTGTTCTCTGAATATGCGATCAAATGCACGACACATTTGCAAAATCGTATACAGCTGTGCCTGAAAACAACCCACAAACTCAAAACCATGTTTTACCTTTGGCAAAAAAACTCAGATTTTGGACTATGTGACCATTACCCCTCCATCTACACCAATAGGGCGTCCAATACGATCCAACTCTGCATTAAGCTCATCAATAGTCTTGTTTATTAAAGCAATGATACCCGGTATCCGCTGCCTAATGACAACTTCCAAATGCTAAACATTATCATGAGTAAAACCTCATAGTGAGCATATGAAAATGTTTTATATAATCCGTCCAAAAAACAATCATCTGCTAAAATTTACTATGTTCTAAATGAAATCATTTTGAACAAAAAAACTAATTATTATATTTAACGTATTTCTTTAAACAACATGTCTTGAACAAGTTAAGTCTAGATAAACTAACAATAAAAATTAAAAAAAATACAAGTAGAACTAAGGATTTCCAACAACTGTTTTGGAGAGGGGGGAAATGGCTCCCAGAAGTCACTTTCCTATTTTCCGGTGTTTAAGTGTTCCGGAAAATAGGAGTTTACAAAAAAACTGAGTCTTATTTTGAGGAAAATAAGTCTTATTTGGAGGAAAATGATTTCCATTTTTTTCGATGGTATACATTTTCCAACATTCTCCTACTTAGATTGAAATTACCCAGTTTTATTATTTTTTAACAATAAAAACTAGCTTTTTCCAAACTTTCAAACAAACACTAAAAAATGAATTTATTTTCAAGAACTTATTTTCTAGAAATCAATTTTTTCGAAGGCAATTTCCATCTCTTCAAATGGATGGTAAAATATGACACTTTTTGGGACAAAGGTAGTATAACCTAAAAAGAAACTTAATGAAAAGCTACACTTTTAAGAGAAGAACCTGCGAGAGAAGTTTTGCAAGATACTCAGAGCCCATTTTGTGTGCCAGATGTCCATATTCAGGGCTGGATTCAAAATACTCTTGTTCCTTTCGACGGGCATACATCATGTCAACATTCTTATTGATGTCAGCCTGTGAACGATTTACAATTCCAACCCATGGGTGTTGGAGCCTGTATGATCTACCTTCAAGTACCTTACAAAAATAAAGATGAAGAAAAAAACTGAAATAAATTAACTACATGAGAGAAAAAACATTGGTAATGTGGCAAAGGTTATATAAATAGAATGGTTATCTCATACTAAAAATGAATAGCCTTAAAAAGACTGCAGATCATACATCCAAGGCATTTGTTCCTTGATCCATTAGATCTAGTTTAGTTAACACACCAAATGTCCTTTCTCCTGGAAAAGGAAAAAAAGATAGATTTCCAAAGAAATAAGAGACCAGAGAGAATTCATAATGGCCTAAATGAGAA